GAGCGAGTGAGAGTGAGTGAGTGAGGGTGAGTGAGAGTGAATGAGAGTGAGTGAGAGTGAGTGAGAGTGAGTGAGAGTGAGTGAGAGTGAGTGAGTGAGGGTGAGTGAGTGAGTGAGTGAGAGAGAGAGAGTGAGTGAGAGAGAGTGAGTGAGTGAGTGAGTGAGAGTGAGTGAGTGAGTGAGGGTGAGTTTGTGAGTGAGTGAGTGAGTGAGTGAGGGTGAGTGAGAGTGAGTGAGAGTGGGTGAGAGTGAGTGAGAGTGAGTGAGAGTGAGTGTGAGTGAGTGTGAGTGTGTGCGAGTGGGTGTGAGTGAGTGGGTGTGAGTGAGAGTGAGTGAGTGAGTGAGTGAGTGTGAGTGAGTGTGAGTGAGAGTGAGTGAGAGTGAGTGAGAGTGAGTGAGAGTGAGTGAGAGTGAGTGAGAGTGAGTGAGAGTGAGAGTGAGTGAGAGTGAGTGAGAGTGAGGGAGAGTGAGGGAGAGTGAGGGAGAGTGAGTGAGAGTGAGTGAGAGTGAGTGAGAGTGAGTGAGAGTGAGTGAGAGTGAGTGAGAGTGAGTGAGAGTGAGTGAGAGTGAGTGAGAGTGAGTGAGAGTGAGTGAGAGTGAGTGAGAGTGAGTGAGAGTGAGTAAGAGTGAGTGAGAGTGAGTGAGGGTGAGTGAGAGTGAGTGAGAGTGAGTGAGTGAGAGTGAGTGTGAGTGAGTGAGTGAGTGAGTCAGTGAGTGAGAGTGAGTGAGAGTGAGTGAGAGTGAGTGAGTGAGTGAGGGAGTGAGTGAGGGAGTGAGAGGGGTGAGTGAGAGTGAGTGAGAGTGAGAGTGAGAGAGTGAGAGTGAGTGAGAGTGAGTGAGAGTGAGTGAGAGTGAGTGAGAGTGAGTGAGAGTGAGTGAGAGTGAGTGAGTGAGTGGAGTGAATGAGGGTGAGTGAATGAGGGTGAGTGAATGAGGGAGGAGGGACGGGAGGCGGGCGGAGCGGATACAGAACTAAAAACAAAAACCCCACACGTCAATGTGGGGAATAATTTATCTTTTTTTTAAATTATGTTTATTTAGAACCAAATTTTAATATATACAAAAAAAATTGCCATATTGCTGTAACAATAATATATTTTGTATCTGGGCTTGGGTCCAGCGTTGCCAATACAAGTCCGATTTCAATGTTATGATTTTGTTTCTTATCTTATGAGTCCGCCCCACCCACCATTTATACCTGTATTCAGTATTCCGATATTTCATAAAAGAAATTGGCGGGTAGAGGTAAAATTAGAAATTTGTGCAATCCTTTAATTGTCTCAGCCCCCCCAAAAAAGACCTCATAATATACGGGTCATCCTTCTTGCTTGTTCTACGATGTTCTGCATTATTTTTTAGTGACATAAAAGACCACAAAACTATTCAGCGTGGGGCCGGCCATAACCCTCAAAATCATGATTCCCAAAATTTCAGACATATCCGCACACACCCTGTGAGTAAGACTACAGTACCATCATAAGAAGTGAAGTCTTTGTTAAAGTTGTGACACTTTACAGGCCGTATGTAATTTTGGGTGAGGGCTGTTTGAACCTGTTCCTTTCAGCCCAACTATTTTCATGGTCCTTGCGGCATTGCGGTAGCCTTGCAGGAACTCAATATTTCAATCACTTTTCAGAAATACTTGCCAAGATTAATAAAGGACAAAGCATTGGACGGACTCAAAACAGCAAAAAAAACTTAAGGCGTGCAATGACTAAAAAATTCTTAAATAAACGCAATATTTCGGTTCATAGACGTCTACCACAACCTAAAACATGTATGTATATATATATATATGTGTGTGTGATTCATGGTTTTAATCTACCCCAGTCGACTCATGACAACCAAAAACTTGCGCCAACCCTGTGCCCTGTGCAAGCTAAAGTCACCTAAGAAGCAATGCCGGATTCAAGGTACATCCTATGCAATGGCAAGCGTTGTAGGTAGTCGTGTCGCGGGATCTCTTCTTTTGGCCGAAAAAATAATTGGATTATTATATTACAATAGATCATTTGTATTATACTCACCAACACATAATTTGTCAGCAATGGCATTTTGCAGCTCAAGATTGGCAAGAATGTCAGCACAGAACAAGTTGAAAAATAGAATTTGACTATTTGACTATCTTAAATAGAGGTAAGTGTAAGATTAATGGTGCTTTTGTTTGGCATGTTTGCCAAACAAATCATGTCTGCTTTTATCGCGCGGCCAAACAATACGTGTTTATAGAGCAATACATCTTAATTATTATGGTATTGCTATTATATATGGTGAGGTCCAGTATACTTTCGAAAAAGAGTGAGTACTGGGTTCCTATTGAAAATGACTACCCATTTTCAAATGTAGAGTCGGGATAACGTCAGAAATGTGTCAACTCATATTGTATGTATGATATGTATGTATATATAATAGTAAATACATACATACATACATATATATATATATATTTATAGATTGTAGATATTGCTTGCAGTGGTAAATGCATGCATACATGTATCCTGAAGAGTTTGCACATGTGTGAAAAAGCTGGGGCTTGGCATGCATCGCGCAAAAAAATGTTGGAGTTTATATAGTATGTTACAGTTGCACATGTTATAAGTTCTGACTCCAGCAGCGGCACTTTTCAAGAGTCCAGAGTGTTTGTACAGTAAACAATTTGATTTGCTACACCCTCTGTGGCAAACCACAGAAGCCGCATCTTAAGCGAGCGCTGGCTGTGAACTCCAGCACTTGCGTTTCAACGGCGTTCAAGAGGTGAAAGCCGTCTGAGCAACCCTTGGGCTCTCAGATCTTAGGAAGCGGTCATGAACCTCAGAGCCGTGATCATAGAATCTGAAGGGTCTGCAGATTGTACAGTCTCTGTTTTCTGGGTTTATCCAAAGCCGAGGTATCCCAAAAACAATCATCATATTAGATTCGTTTATTATGTTTGATTAATTAAAGTCATGGTTTGAATCTGAAATGGGTTGCTGGGAAGCGAAAATAGGCTAACTGTTAAACGACCAGAGGGTATGCCCTGTTATGAGTGCCAAGAAACGGAATCATGTCCGAGTCATTTGGTGCGGTGGCAGGAGACGGAATTTGGGCCTGAAGTGTCAACCAAACCGGCAACAACACGATTTCACGATAGCGGGTATCTAAGCAACAGAAATGGATCATTTAATGATGGAAACCCGGGACTTGGATGGATTGGATGGAATTGGTTCATCCCCGATCGATCCGCCAACCAGAGGATCAACTGACAGCTGGTCGCGCCTGAAATGTATGACCCTCAGACAGGCCCTGTGGAACCGTCACCATAAACCTGCCAAACGCCACAAAATGCCACAAGGCATTGCACCTCTCAATGCCATGCCAAATCTAGGCTCGAATATCAGAAATGGCGCATCCGTGTCAAACCCCTTTCCCCTGCCTGCCAGTAGGACCAGACACCTCCAGGGAATCGCCAGCCTTGAGGGTGGGCAAATCAGGGCAGCTCGACCCACTATACCTATTTGAAACTTCGACTGAAACACTAAAATCATGTAAAATCCAAATCAGCAAACAATAAACATAGCAAACATCACTTCCCAGTGTTACGATGTTTTCCATATCTTTCCATCGCATTTCTCCTGCTCCGCCCGGACTCCGACCCTTCGAGGCCCCAACGCGCACACCAACTGGAACCGTGACCTGGACGGAGGGTCCAGCCACAGTTGGAGCTTGCCCTGGAAGCGGCACACCTGCAGCCATGCCGGCCATGCTCGTTGGCCAAAAGGGAACAAGGCCTCTGTTCGTAATTACGAATACGCTATGGATCGGCATGGTCGAAGGAAGTTTAGAAGTCAAACTTCCGACAATATGGACAGATGAAAAGCTGAGATGGGAAGAGTAAGAGAATAGTAAGAAAAGAGTAAGATAAGATAAGATAAGATAAGAGAAGAGAAGAGAAGAGAAGAGAAGAAGAAAGAGGATCAAAGAAGAGACCATCAGAAAAAAGAAGAAAAGGTAGGAAAGTCGCAAAACACTGTGTTTTTCCAATGGCTTGTGGCTCCGGAGGGTCAAAAAGCAGGTTTAAAGCGGCGGGTGCGGAGCAATCTGACCAGATGAGAGATGAAAAATTGCACGCCTTTGTGGCTTGATGTGCAAATGAAATAGCTTAAAACACCTCACGCTCGGAACACTTTTGGAAGTTGAGATGTCGAAAAAGCGCACGCCGGTGTGGCGCGAAGCACGTTTCCAAGTCAAAGTGTGCAAAACACCTCAGTGTCGGAGCACTTTTGGAAGTTGAGATGTCGAAAAAGTGCACGCCGTTGTGGCGCGAAGCACGTTTCAAAGTCAAAAGTGTTAACAATTGGCGGTCTCGGAACACTCTGGAAGTTGACATGTCGAAAAAGTGCACGCAGTTGTGGCGCGAAGCACATTTCGAAGTCAAAAGTGCAAAAAACTGAGGGGTACGGAGCACTTTTGGACGTTCAGATGTCGTTTTGCGTGGCAGGCGCAGGGGACTGTGCACCTGGTCAAAAGTAAGCAAAACTTGAAGTTTTTCTAGCAGTTTCAAAAATGATGGCAGGCGTGGGACATTTGAAGAGGATCTGGAAAAATGCATGTTGCGTGGCAGGCGCAGTACAACGAGGTAGATGCGTTAGGAGATCAGGGCGGAGATTTCCTGAGAGGGGCTGCATTTTGGAGCATGAGATCTTCAGGTTTGCTAAAATGATTTCGCGTGACAGGTGCAGCACTTCGTATGACCTGGCATCACTTTTTCGTGGCAGGCACGATACTTTCGACAGGTGGACTGGAAAAAGCGCAAAACGCATTGGTACGAGGCCGTCAGCTCTGCACTCAACTTTCCATTTTTGAAGGAAGTCTCGCAGAATTGCTTCGCTTTTGATGCTGTCAACTTGAAAAACTGTGGAAGTCTCGCAGAATAGCCGCGTTTTTGACGTTGTCAAGTTCAAAAGTTGAGGAAGTCTCGCAGAATTGCTTCGTTTTTGATGTTGTCAACTTTGAAAAAATGAAGAAGTTTTGCGAATAGCTTCGTTTTCAAATTTGCAGATAGATAGATAGATCGATAGATAGATAGATTAACAGAAAGACAAATAGATAAATGGATATATAGGCAGACGGATAGATAGACAACTGCAACTGCACTACACCACACTACAGCTACAACTTCAACTGCAACTACAACTACACTATCACGACAACTACACTTCAACTACAAGAACTACAGCTACAACCTCAACTACAACTACAACGTCTACTACAAATACTACGACTACAATTACAAGTGCCACCACAACTAGAATTAACTAGAACCACAACTTACAACTACAACTGCAACAACTACTACAGCTACACTACAACTGCAGCTGCAGGCAACTACAGCTGCAACTACATCAAAAACTTCAGCTACACTACAGCTACGCTTCAGCTACAACTTCAACTTCAAATATACTACAACAACAATAATTACCACGACGCTACAACTACAACTACAACTACAACTACAACTAACTACAACTACAACTACAACTACACTACAACTACGTAAATACACCACAGCTACAGTCACAACTACAAATGCAACTCCTACAACTATTGCTGCTACTACAGTTACTACAATTAAGACAATTACAACTTCACTTCACCTACACTACGCACAACTACAGACTACAACTACAACATTACAACTTCAACATCAATCCCATTACAACTACAACTACAGTTACAACTACAACTACAACTACTGCACTACACCACACTACATCCAGGAGTTGTGAGTGAGGTGACCACTGCAACCATTGCAACCACGCCAAAAAGCACAACTCCAACCACCTTTTGGTCCATCAGTGGATTCGCTCTGCCATCCATGCATCACAGCAACCCACCTCTCTTATAGTGTCCTATCCTTGAAACTTCCGCCACCGCCTTGTGCGGTACTACTGGTACATACATTGTATACATGTTTCACTTTTTCCTCTTTGGTGTTGAACTCCAGGTTTGGAATAATTAATGTGCAAGCGTGCCTGTGCTCAACATTGAATGTTTTGACGGAAGGAAAGCCAACGATACCAGGGATGTGAGGAACAAAGCCAGGGGGTCGTGTGGATCATTGTGGATCAAGTTCCAATCAGAAGTTGGGTGATGGACATGGATGTCATCCCCGTAAACGGCGCCACCTGACACGAACTTCATCGAACTTGACCCGGGCCCGGGGCCTGGTCCGAAGGTGGAGCGCATCGTCTCTTGCGAGGGCGGGTACGGCACATTGGCCCCATGGAAGAAGGTGTCGACTTTGACTCCCAGCTTTATGATTTCCATCAGGAGGTTTTCCTGTGCCAAACATAAAAAGCAAGATTTGCCAGGGCAATCAACAAGCTCAGTGGCTGTGAGGTAGCTGGTTGTGAAGGGAGGTGTTACACGCATCCATGATTGAAAATAAGACATCCCATCTCTCCAATTTAATGATGGAAATGTGGTGTGTGTGTGTGTGCGTGTGTATACATGGATATGTTAACCCATCTTTCCAATTCAACATGATGAATTGTGCCGAATCCTCACATGGTAAGTCAAGTGGGTTCCATTGGGTTAAAACTGGCTATATGTATATACTGTATATTGTATATCATGTATATCTTTTGTTATGTATTATCTATATTTATTTCTGTTCAGTTGGGTGTCTATCTCATTGTAAGAATGCACTATCGGCCACCACCTTTCAGGGTGTGGTTGTCGGGTCCTGCTGTCGGATCTGCGCAATGTTTCCACGCTTCACTTTGCGATTCTGCAGCTCAGCGGAGATTTCCTCAGTCAAACCTTGGTTTTGTTGCACAAGATTCCCTGCTGCACAGTCACACATGGAACGTATATAGGATATGTATGAACATAAGGGAAATAGAAATATATGGAACTATTGCAAAATAGAGGGATGTATATAATAATTATGGTTCTGATAGAATTGAAAACCATCTAATCATCCAACCCCCAAAAAGATCAAAAAGTTAAAGACAAAATGTATGCGCTACAATCCATCCAGAAACGGTGGTCACAGCCGCAGCCGGGACACACAAAGTTCTGATCCGTTTGAACGTTCACACACAAGCCAAAGAACGCCCGGGCAGGTTCCACGGAACCCAATTGCGCATAAGGTTCACGGCGGACAGCTTTGAGGCAACAGCTGCTCTTTCTGAAGATCGCTTCTTCGTCATTAAGCTCTAAGCTGGTGGTCTGCAGGCAGCAGCATATTTTCTCGAAGATGTTGGTGATATCAAAGACCCTTCGTTCCATCTGCTCAGACGCACTCAAATGCAAAGCTTGTCCTCGTTCCGAAGACACAGGAGGTAAGTGAGGTGGATTTTCCCCATAGATCGCCTGCAACGTCTGCTGAGAAGGTGGGTACGAAATGTCTTTCTTTTTCAGCAAGATGTCCATCCGAATGTCCTTAGACATGGGAACCCTCTCGCGCGTGGCGCACCCTGCCACCATGCCATTTGCCAAAGTGGGCCCTTGTCTAACCCACCGGCCAAACACAAACCCACACTGCACATGAGAAAACTTTCCAGGGCATGTTGCATTTTGGACTGCAGGTCATGTGGCACAAATACCGCTATATTAACCTTCCCAGCTGCAGTTGTGGGCATTGGATTGGAGTCCAAGACTCAAGACCCTTGACTTTGCCTGGGAGGTTGGCTCGGCTCCCACTTATCCGGACGTGTCCGACATGTTGGTTTAACCCTTGAGGTGCCATGTGCTAATCTACTGTAGCAAAAGGAAGGCCTCCATGTATACGTGTACATGTATATATGGAAATGATCAAATGGAAACGTTCTAAAATGCCCCCCCAAAATCATCCAATAGTCAATATTAGTCATGAATACTGCAGATGGGACACCATTGTTTTTTCAGGGACCTCCGCAAAAAGAGAGATAAGAATAGCTTGATTCCCAATGATTCCCTGATCTCAGCAGGATCCAAGGCTCTGACTCCAAGGCCTTAACCATGGTATTCTCCTGGTTTCTGAGCTGCGCGATGTTGCCACGGCCCACCTTCCTAGCCTGGAGCTCTCCCGCGATTTCATTGAGCTTTTCGGAGTCCCCAAACCTGAAACCCAGGCCCCAAGAAATTGCAGGTGAACTAGGATCATCATCCCATGTTTGGAGGAAAGCTCCGGCATTTTTGATCATTCTCCCATTTGGGGGTGGGAAATGCTTGTGAATCAAGAAAATCTTCAGGATGCGGGTGGATAATCACATACTGTCTGAAACGACCACCTAGAAACCATCCGGGGGAAAGCAAATTCACCATATGGCAACAGCAGCAAAAGATCTCCTCATCCACCGCACGTAGCTGGGCATAGGGTTTTCGGTCAATAGAGGTTCCGCAATTGGTTTGGAAGGTGGTGACCACCTGTTCGGGCTCTAGGACCATTTCATGCTTCAAGCAGCCTGCGATGCCACAGGTTCCAATGAGGCCACCCAAGTTCTGGAACTCGTTGCGCACATTGAAGGTTCGTGTGGGGAAGTTCTGGCTTGGCATCTCATGTGGCATCTCGGAGGGTGGGCTGATCTCGGGTCCCTGTGCCCCATACACAGCATTCATCGTTTGCTGGGAAGGAGGGTAGGAAGCATCAGCCCCGACTTTGTCCAGGACCAGAGGAAGTTCAGCCGCAAAGTCACCAAATTTTACCATCATTTTTTCCAGCTGCTTGATTTGCCCCGTGTTCCCTCTGACATCTACGCGCGCCTGCAGGTCTGCACGGATGCGTTCCACCAGCCCTGCATCGCACCCAAATCCAGGCTGCAAGGGTTGCCCTTCCACCTGCCCTGGTGGTCTAGTGAGCTCCCCAGCCTCCAGAAAAGCCAGGCATCCGCAGATGTTCTTGGGATTAACCTGCAAGGAGACTACAAGAACCAAGGATATCTTATGATATGTTGCTACCCGGTCTTGCCACTTAGTGGAGGGAAAAAACGCAAGTTACTTGACAAGGGCCGCTTCTTTTTTTCCAAGCACCAATGAAGGTGCGCGGCTTGCCATTGGTTCGAGTTTTCAAATTAAAACAAACGGATTTGTGCATACCGAAAGAAGCTGTCAGGGAGTAGTGTTTTTTTGTATCTACGCCCGTAGGCTGATGGCCGAGTCTGGCCGGTGACTCTTGGTGACTAAAAAGCACCTCTTCGCTGCTGCTGCTGCTACTGCTACTGCTACTGCTACTGCTACTACTACTACTACTGCTGCTGCTGCTGCTGCTACTGCTGCTGCTACTGCTACTGCTACTGCTACTGCTACTGCTACTGCTACTGCTACTGCTACTACTACTACTACTACTACTGCTACTGCTACTGCTACTGCTACTGCTACTGCTACTGCTACTGCTACTGCTACTGCTACTACTACTACTACTACGACTACTACGACTACTCCGACTACTGCGACTACTACGACTACTACGACTACTACGACGACAACGACGACGACGACGACGACTACTACTACTACTTCTACTTCTACTTCTACTTCTACTTCTACTACTACTACTACTCCTACTCCTACCACTACTACTACTACTACTACTACTACTACTACTACTACTAGTACTACTACTACTACTACTACTACTACGACTACGACTACGACTACGACTACGACTACGACTACGACTACGACTACGACTACGACTACCACTACGACTACGACTACGACTATACGACTATACGACTATACGACTATACGACTATACGACTACGACTACGACTACGACTACGACTACGACTATACGACTATACGACTATACGACTCTACGACTATACGACTCTACGACTACGACTACGACTACGACTACGACTACGACTACGACTACGACTACGACTACTACTACTACTACTACTACTACTACTACTTTGTGACTAGTTCCTACTTGAGGCTAGCTGAGCTACTTAATGTGAACCTATGGAAGGTTTAAGATAAGTATAATAAGTAGCAAATAGCTAAAAATAATTTAAATTAGTTGAAAATTAGTTAAAATTAGCTAAAAATTAGTTAGAATTAGTTAGAAATAAGTAGGACAGCTTAGAAGGCAAAGGGAGTAGTAAATAAGGAAAAGATAGCTCAGAAGGCCAAGGGAGCTGCAAAGAAGGAAACGTGAGTGAAACAATCCGCAGGCTTCAAGACACTCATTGTCAACAGTCGTTTCTTTTCCAACTGCACATGTGTATTTCGATTAAATAGATATGTACATATACACTTCTATGTATATATGTATGCGTAAACTTTAGATGCATATGTACTTGTTCATTGTGTATGGCTACAAACAATTCAACAATATTTGCTTCAATAACAATAAAAACAGTTTGAAAAGTATATTTTTGAGCGGCCAACAGGACGCTTCCTATAGGAGGAAACAAAAGGGAAACCCACAGAAACAAACACACGCACACAGACACACACACACACGCACAAGCAGACTGACGAAGACGGAGCGTCCCGAAGGCCGCTGTTTTTTCTCTCACTTACTTTGAAACTTCCGTCGTTGCGGATCGGGCTCGTACGCCATGCTAAGCTACAGGTGCGCAAACTAGCAAATTCTCTATCCGTAGATTTTCCTCAAAGACAAAGTTCTAGCAACATTCTTTACATATCTGGTGGTTTTGTAAGTTTTACAATTTTTACCACTTAAACATTAATGAATGAAAATTCTACGTATCAGGATGTATCAGGACGTATCAGGATGTATCAGGATGTATCGGCCTATATTTTTTAACCAAAAATCATACCCGATACATCCTGATACATCCTGATACGTCCTGATACATCCTGATACGTAGTGGTCTTTGTCTTTGTTTGGGTTTTCTATCCATATTTTACGTATCAGGATGTATCAGGACGTATCAGGATGTATCAGGATGTATCGGCCTATTTTTTTAACCAAAAATCATACCCGATACATCCTGATACATCCTGATACGTCCTGATACATCCTGATACGTAGTGTTTTTTTGTCTTCGTTTGGGTTTTCTATCCATATTTCATGAATTCATTTTCTGATAAGTTCACATGGTTGGCCATGGCGAGCAAGAAGCGCTGCACAGCTGACAGGAACTTAACCTGCTCAGACATGATGCCTGACCACTACCAGGCAGGACTAACAAGGACCAAAACTGAAACCAAAATTGCGCAAATGGAAAGACTGAGAACTTGCTTCTCTGCACAGTGTGCACAGATGCAACATTCACACCGCAAAAAGCAAGAAGACAAAACAGAGCGTCCCGCGGGCCGCTTCAACACGAACCCAAAACTCCCACACATACACACTCCAAAGCACGAAAGACAATGGCAATAAAACATGAAACAGCCGATTTTAAAGGTAGAAAATCACAAACATATAAGAAAACCAGAGAGAAAAACAACAGAAAATCAGAGAGAAAAACAACAGAAAATAAGTAGAAATAAGTAGAAAATAAGTAAAAATAAGTAGCAATAAGTAGAAAATAAGTAGAAATAAGTAGAAATAAGTAGAAATAAGTAGAAATAAGTAGAAAATAAGTATGTCGTTTTAGCCTTAACATAAGTAGCTTAAGTCGTCGTCGCCGTCGTCGTCGTCGTCGTAGTAGTAGTGGTAGTGGAAGTGTAAGTGGTCGTGGTGGTAGTAGTACTTTGTGACTACTTGTACTTGAGGCTAGCTGAGCTATTTTAAGTAACATGAAGTTGCACTTGTAGTTCCTCAAGTTGCACTTGTAGTTCGATAAGTTGTTTAAGTAGGGCCTCCTAACTTATAAGTATGTTAAGTTCAAGGCTCCTACCTGTTGAACTAGAAGTAACTTAGCTACTTACGACGACGAGGACGACGAAGACAACGACGACGACGACAACGACGACAACGACGACAACGACGACAACGACGACGACCACGACGACGACGACGACAGCGACGACAGCGACGACGACGACGACGACGACGACGACGACGACAACCGACGACGACGAGGACTACTACGACTACTACGACTACTACGACTACTACGACTACTACGACTACTACGACTACTACGACTACTACGACTACTACGATCTACTACTACCCTAAGTCTCGAAAGCTAGTAATTTTACTAATTTAGTAATTTTACTAATCCAGAAGATTTTACGTAAAATTTTTGTTGATTTTTGCAAAATTAGTAAAATGTAAAAAAAAAAGGAAAAGTGCATCAAAAGTGCATCAAAAATGCATCAAGAATGCATCAAAAATGTGCCAGAAGATGTGTGATAGGTTTTCGAATTTCCTTGAATTTGATATAAGAAGCAGAATGAACCTGCAAATATTGTTGAGGAATGTGAAGAAATTAGCATCTGGAACCTGCATAAGGATATGTCCTTTGCCGCAAAACGAAAACATTCTGAAAGAAAGATAGACGGTCAATTCCTGATAGCTTGCATTGGGGTGTGAAAAAAATAAGTGCTGCTGCTGTTCGCTGAGGTTGGCTTTACATGAAAACAGATCCAAGAAACTTTTCTGCATAAAGACT